GTGGAAAATAATGTGTTTTTTTTTACTTTAAACCGCATAAACACATTTCATTACACCAAATACACAAAATAATGTTCTTTTTAGCAGCATCATATGACCCCTTTAATTTAATTGACAATTGAGTAATGAATTTCAATAATGTAAATTAAGCTGCATTTATTTCTGACTGGTATAATTATAATAACATTTTTTAAATATTTAAAATATTCCAATTCTAATAGATTTTAATAAATATAAACATCTGAATTTTATATATTGTTATATATTGTATACCATGTATAGAATTTCAGTAACCTTCTCTCATATATATATATATATATATATATATATATATGAGTTGCGCTAAACCAAGTTCATATTCGCGCGATTTTTTGCACAGCTCGTCAGTGAACAACGGCTCTGTGTAGTTAATGCTGCTCAATGTGAAAGCCCGCAGGTGATGGAGATTTACCGCTGATTACAGAACCGTCTTTACTGACAAGATGCGCATTAAATATCGCATGCGATTTATCGTGCAGCCCTAATATATATATATATATATATACTGAAATTTAAATATTACTCAAATTTTAATATAAATTCCAATATGTGGGTGTAATACACATTCAAAAAGGTTCAAACAAAGCGTTTGAATCAATAGTTCTCAAACTTTTAGATTCATTTTTCATTAGCTTTAATTGAGCTATCAAGCCATCTTGTGGTCCCTTGCAAGTTTGCTGAGGGCCCCGGGCCCCTGGTTGAGAGTCAAGCATAACTAGAAAAATGTCTACTCATCAGTGGAATTCCCATGACACTTTAAGTTAAGACTTACTTAACTTCCATGACTTTCCCTGACCTGGAAATCACAATCCTAAAATTCCCAGACATTTCCAGGTTTTTCCAGGAACCTGGGAACCCAGTTACTTTCAACCAAACTAGACTGCCTGCCAGCAGACCAACACACATATAACAAGTCGTTTTGTTTTATTACCTGCGGAGGGTTTAATTAATGGCTTCATTAGTGTAAGAAGTGCTTGATAAGGAAGGCAGCGACAGCAGAGGGCTGGGACTGCTTCGCTACGCCGAAGTTCCTGCTCGCTTCGAGGGGAATTTCTTCAGCTGAGTGGGTGATTTGCTGTCAGGCAGGGAAATAACTGTCGCCTGCTGCTCACTGTTAGCCTGTTAGCACTGTTTCGCCAGCCTCGCGTTGCGGTCGCCGCGCGTCTTACCTTGTTGCTCTGGTAGTCTTCAAACGCTCGCAGCGCGCTGTCAGTCAGCTTGACGTGATAGACGGAGATGTTGCTGCCATTGCTCACTCTTCCACAGGACAGTCCGTAGCACTGCTCCTCCTTCAACGCCGCCATCTTGCTCACATTTCCCACCACGCTCACGCGCCTCTGCCGTGAACGCAACAAGCAGCTCGAGCGAGCGAGGGATGGGATTATTCATGAGGCGTGAATTACGTACAGGCGGGAGGGGGCGGGGCTTCGGGGTAATCATGAGAGAGATGACCAATGATGGGAAGCCCGAGTCTTTTCAGCGAATCGGTTCTTTTGAGCAGTTCGTTTCAAAGATCCGGTTCGGAAACGATTCAGCTGTTTTGTGTTGAATTCAGATTCAGCTGTCATCATCGCTCTAAAAAGTTATATTGCTGTTTATAACAAATAGAATGTAGTGATAAGGGTGTTTATATTGTCTCGGTTCTGCAGTCCTGACAAAATATGTGACCCTGGACCAAAAAACAAGTCATAAGGGTCAACCTTTTGAAAATGAGATTTATACAGTAACTCAATTAGCTGAATAAATACGCTTTCCATTGACGTATGGTTTGTTAGGACAATATTTGGCAGAGATACAACTATTTGAAAATCTGGAATCTGATAATAAATAAATAAAATAAAAACAATTAGAAAATCACCTTTAAAGTTGTCCAAATGACGTTCTTAGCCATGCATATTACTAATCAAAAAATAAGTTTTGATATATTTACAGTAGGAAATTTACAAAATATCTTCATGGAACATGATCTTTACTTAATATCCTAATGATTTTTGGCATAACAGAAAAATCAATAATTTTGACCCATACAATGTATTTTTGGCTAATGCTACAAATATACCCGTGCTACTTATGACTGGCTTTGTGCTCCAGGGTCACATGTTATTTATTTACACCTTATTGAGATCCTACATAAACTGTGCATAACTCTACACAAAACTTAAGTTCATTTACATCTCTTAGTTTAAAAGTGTACAGGTATGGACGTTTAGTAACAAATCGTTAACTGTTTTGGTAACATTTCAGCTAATTAGGCGATTAAAAAGTAACATAACTTCTGCTAATTTAGCTGTTATATATTATTGATCTGTTTTTGATATTAGGGAAAGTTTATATTAATCAAACTAAATGGAGTAACTTAAATCCCAGTTTTGCTCAATTTCAAACAGCCTTTAAAGCTTATTTAGAATCTAGTCTTTAAAAAATAGTAAAGCACAAAGAACGGTCTCTGGTAAATTAATTTAACATATGCTTGTGATGCCCTTTTATTTTGTTTATTTTTTAATTATAATTTTATTTTATTCAAATAGTTTAATTTGTATTTACAAAATGTGTAAATATGAGAAATATGTCAAGCACTTACTGTTGAATTTTGTAACTTTGAAAGTTCAATAATAATAATAAAAAAAGGTCTTTCAGTCAGAATTGTTGACTCGAGATCCGCTCAATTCAATTGATGAACGAATCATCATGAACCGTTTCACTGAAAAGATCCGACTCGATTCTCTCGGATTGGACATCGCTGGAAATGACCGATGAATGGCGTCATCACAACGCGGTTTGATACGGTTATTTATTTTTTCGAATACATTTCAACAATAAGGCAAACGTATATGATTTGAAATTTGTGATTTGACCATGTTTGGTTGTGTTTTTGTACACTGGAAACCTCTTGGCTGGGGGTGGGGGAAGGTTTTGGATTGAACGCTTCTCAGTCACAGAATTGCGTCAGAAAAACGTCAATGTCCGGAAAAAAACCCCCCATGAATAGGGAATGCCCCACCAGACTCCAACGAGAGGGACTAGGTTTAGTCACGTTTATGCACTTAAAATACATTCTCTAGGCCCATTTAATTACAACGCACACTTTACATAGAATGTTCATTTAAAACGTTTACATCGAACCCGTAGGTCATAAACGAGCTGGCAAGTGCAAGAAAGCATTGCATTGTTGCTCTATTAACACTATTCACTTTCATTACCTTGCAACCACATATAGTTCCTTCAGGAAATGCAAATCTAGAATTCATACAGTAGCTCTGACATCTAAACATTTTCAAGAAATCACTTTATTTTCAACCATATGAACAGAAAGTGCAAAAGTTTATTATAGGATATACAAAATAACTTTAAAAGGAATGTCGGATGTTACCAATACTACAAAAAAAATCGGAATGGGGAACTGAGACAATCAACTTAAGGATTAAAAAAAAAACTCATGTCTGTTCATCCTAAATAAATAATACTAAATAAATGAAAATCATTCTTGTAGGAGCTGAAAAATAAACTGAAAAGGTCTGTATGACCTTCCTTGCAGTGTTTGGCCATGAAAATGAGAAACTCTGGGAACATCATTGAGGGACAGCAGCCGATTCCAGTGATATTTTGGAGCCTATAAAGGAGAAGACAGCACGAAAACCAGTAATGTACCACATCAGTGTAAGGACTTTTGAAATAGTGTTGTCTTTCTTTAGCATCAGATGCCTGTAGATACTGCAAAAGAAAAAGCATACAATCATATTCTTGAATGTTCAAGACTGTTCACAAGCAAGTTTCAGTTCACCAAAAGAAGATCATGGAACTTCACACACGTAATTGAAGAGTTCTGCAGCACGACTGTGTCCAGCAACCTGAAGAGCATCATTCTGTACATCGATACATTTCTTAATTATAACTAGGAACTTTTCTGTACATAAATAGGAATTATATAATATTTCTCACATCTATTTCTCCCCAGCTCATCTTTCATGCATTGAAAGTAAAAAGTGAACGCCATTTAAAACCTCTACTGTGCGATGGACGGCAACAGAACTACAACCATTCTACTTTCAATTACAATTTTTTTTTTTAAGAAGGTCAGTAAGGTGTTTGGGGGCCTGGCGTACTCAAGGTCTTCAGCATCACATCATTCATCTCGTCACAGTGAATTTGGGATTAATTTCTAGCTGCGATGACGACTGATAAAGCTACACCACCAATCGCAACGGCTGTAGCCCCAAAAAGCCACTTCCAGCTGAGACTCTGTAAAAAGAAAAATACTTGTTTAAAATAAATACTTCACCCATAAAGAAAATTATCATTATTTATTCACCCTCATGTTATTTTAAACCCATATGTGGCTTTCTATTGTATTTTTCAGAAATCTTTTTATAGTTTTTTTGGAATGAACAAATCAAAATTTACTTACATTTTTTTAAAGATTTTTTTTTTGGCATTTTTGTCTTTGATATGATTTATACAGATTGCATCTGACAGGAATAGCTACGAGAAGAATTAAACATAAAGTATGTGCAGTTGCCGTACTGTATTAAAGCTTTCATCAGTATAAAACTGTATATTAAAAGCTAACATAAGCAGTAGCATTTACAAATAACAGTGTATCTAAAAGTATGAGACAACAACAAACAAAAAACAGGCCTACCATTAAAAGCCATGCTTGCACAGGTTCTGCACGATCCTCTTCAATAATATCCTCTGCTTCTCAATCAGGCTCAAACTGATAAGCGATATTAACAACGCCTTGTTTACAATACAACTGGAGCATATGCTGCTGAGGTGAGGGGCGGGACGGTTAGATACGCACTAGAGGCGGTTTAGCCAATCACAACACAGTGGGCTAGCTAACCAATCAGAGCCCATTGCCTATTTCTGAGGGAGGGGCTTCATAAAAGTAGGAAATGATCAGCACGTTTCTCAGAGAAGGGACAGAGCGGTGTAGAATAAAGGTAAATTATGAAACTAAGCATTAACACATGTTAGACTGCCCCCCATAAACACAATCAAGCCTAGAAAAAAAAAAAGAGTCAACCACCCCTTTAAAGAATAGCAGAGTCCACACTACAACTATAACGATAAAGGCAAAGAGAAACGATATCGTTGGAATCACTTCCAGAACGATTTTTTCCAGCTGATGAACGATACAAACATTGACAGCCAATCAGAATCTATCCTGCTATAACTAGCTCGAGAATTTAAAGCGGCAGACGCACGTGCGCTTAGAATAAACAGATGATATCATCTGCTGGTGTGGATGCAAATATTGTTATCTTTATAGTTATCATTCTTGGTGTGAATGGGGCTTTAGGATTCAAAGAGAGTGGGAAGTCGTGGCCTAATGGTTAGAGTCAGACTCGTAACCCAAAGGTTGTGGGTTCGAGTCTCGTACCGGCAGGGATTGTAGGTGGGGGGAGTGAATGTACAGCGCTCTCTTCCACCTGCAATACCACGACTGAGGTGCCCTTGAGCAAGGCACCGAACCCCCAACTGCTCCCCGGTCGCCGCAGCAAAAAAAAAAAAAAGGCTCCCCACTGCTCCGGGTGTGTGTTCACGGTGTGTGTGTGTGTTCACTGCTGTGTGTGTGCACTTTGGATGGGATAAATGCAGAGCACTAATTCCGAGTATGGGTCACCATACTTGGCCACATGTCACGTCACTTTCACTTTTTTTCCACTTTCAAACTCGGGACGCCCATAGCGCAACAGCGCTCTATGTCAGCGGGCGCACTGCCAACAAGGCTATCTGCGCAGACAAAATTTAACTTATTATTGACTAATAATTTTCTGCGCCAGTGAGGTTTGAGTTGAACTTGAGAATCAGATAGTCCGAATCGTCAATGAATCATTCGGTCAGATTTGTGAACCAGATTAACTAGAAAAGAAATGGCTCAAAAAATGATTTGTATGAAGTCCCTTGGGTACATAGTGATGGGGGGTGGATGAGATGGAAAGGACAATTCTTTCACGTGCTTTAAAAAAAGCTGCTATTTAGCTCTTACAGTACTTTGAATCAGTGGATCCGAGTCAGAATTTTTCACTCAGACTGATTCAGTCCAATTAATGAACAATTCACTGTAGACTGTTTGAGTAGATCAGACTCAAAAGAACAATTCTTTCATGAATCGGACATTGCTAGAAATGATGGTGATGGGAAGAAATGAGATGGAAGGAAAATGTTTTTCATGCCTCATGAATCATTTCAAAGCTTTGTGTTTTCTTCCCTAGCTTAACTGCTGATTGAAATAATATTTGTGTGGTCTACGGAAAAACTGTATTTCAAAGCTTTTGTGAGCGAATGCAAGGTTTCTTCTGGCAAATGCAATATTTTTGTGAAAAAATGTGAAGTTTCTCGGGGAATGCAATATTTTTGCGAGAGAATTCAACAGGTTTTGCGAATGAACGCAGAACTTCTCAAGGAAATTCAAAGGGGAATGCAATACTTTTGTAAGAGGACAAAGAAGTTTTTCAGGGAAACGCAATACTTTTACGAGAGAAAGTAAATGTTTCGCAAGAAAACGCTAAGTTTCTCGGTGCAATGTAAAAAAAATTGCGAAAGAATGCAGAAGTTTTGTGAGAAATGCAAGCTATTTTTTGCAAGCTAATGCAAAAATCTGACTGATCCAGTTCTCAAGTTCAGTTCAAACTCAATGACTCATTCACACGTGAAGATTAAAAAAAAATTGCCACGTAGGAGTTTGGAACAATATGAAGGTGATTAAACATTTTATATTCATTAATCATTTTTTATTTTTGAGTCAACTATCTCTTTAACAGGCTAAGGCATGAATGTGCACTTTGTCATCTGTAAAACCCACTTCCTGTTGAGAATAAACAGACATGCAACCTCATAAATAAGCAGTGCATGGTGTTAAATAGTTGAAATAGGGCCGTTTTAAGCTCTCACCCATGAGGACTTGGCACGGTGTTTCTGCACACTGGCGTTCGTCGGGTTACCCAGCATCTTTTTATACATGGCCTGTTCGGCTCCTTTCTGCTCTGAGTGTTTCTTCACAAGCTTCGACAGCTCAGCATGGATGGTCTGTCCGAGGAAAGGGCAAAGAGAGTGAAAAGTGTGTGTGTGTGTGTGTGTGTGTGTGTGTCAGGCTGATGAAACTGTTGCTCACTGCAGCACACCAACACATTTGGGCGGCATGAAAATGATTAAACATGACAGTGCTGATAGTGATTGAGTGAAAGCCTAACAAAAGTCAAGATGTAAACCAATTTAAGATTAAAAACGCATTCACTTGTTTTCCGATATCAGCTGCAATGCCACAGAACACAAAAGCAGAAGCGAAAGCATCTTGTACTAATGAAACGTGTCTTTATATGGATCACACACACATGATCATTTTTCTCTTATATGACCTCAAAATCAAGACCCTGGAGTTTTATTCTCTCTATACCCGAGTGAAGATAGACTAGATCTGCTTTAGTTTTAGCCTGTGAAGATGATATATAAGAACGCAAAAAGAAATTTAGTTAGATTTAGTTCACACTTGTTTCTGCCAATGCCGAGGAGTTCGATTCATTTAGGGAATCAGTTTTCTCAGATGGTTTGTTTCCATCAGAATTTAATAAAAATAAGCAGTTTGTCATATAATTTTGAATCAACACTACAAATTTCAAGTGATTTTTTTGTAGAATTATTCATTGAGTGTTTATTTTTCAAACAAATCTAAATTGTTCAAATGGATTTCAACAAATCAAAAGACAGTTCATCTATTCATTTGGAGTCATCGCACATATTTCAAGCAACCTTGTAGAAGGATTTGTTTCCAAACCGATCTGTTCAACAGTTGAGTGCGAATCGGAGTCATTCAAGTTTACTTCATTCATTCAGTTTGATCAATTGGCTGGTTTAAAAAAGCAGTTTACTTATTCATTTTGTGACATAACTACATATTTCATGAGATGTTACAAAATGACTCATTTATGAATAGATTTGTTCAAGAGTTCAATGTGAATTGTTCAAGTGAATCTGAACAGTTCATATTTTAACAAATCAGTTCACTCAATTTGTTTCAGTGGACTGATTCAAGAAATAGTTAATTGATTAATGATTATTTTATGAACTGATCTGTTCAACAATTAGATTTGAATCATTCAAGTGAATCTGAATCATTCAGATTTACTTGAATTAATTGGTTCATTCATTCCGTATGCTTCAATAGGCTGGCCAACAAAATCAGTTCATTTATTAATTTGCGTCAGTACATAATTCATGTGATTTTACAAAAGGACTCATTTATGAATTGATTTGTTCAACAGTTGAGTGTGAATCATTTAAGTGAATCTGAATTGTTCATATTTTAGCAAATCAGTTTCCTCAATTTGTTTCAATGGAGTGATTCAAGAAATGGTTCATTGATTAATGATTTTATGATTGAATTTATGAACTGATCTGGTCAACAGTTGAATGTGAATCATTCAAGTAAATCTAAACATTCAGGTTTACTTGAGCGAATTGGTTCATTCATTCAGTTTGCTTCAATAGACTGGTTTAAAAAGCAGGTCACTTATTTATTTTGCGTCATAACTACATAATTCATGTGATTTCAAAGAATGACTAATTTCTAAATTGATTTGTTAAACAATTGAGTGTGAATAGTTCAAGTGAATCTGAATCATTCTGATTTATTTGAGCAAATGAGTTCACTCAGCATGCTTCAATGTACTGATTTAAAAAACAGTTCATTGATTAATTTCAAGACATCGCTAAATATTTCAATTGATCTTGAAAATGTTTCAGTTACAAACTAATTTGTTCAACAGTTGAGTGTGAATTGTTCAAACGAATCTCAGCCCATCAGATTTGTTTGAGCAAATCAGTTCACTCAAGACAGTGTGTTTCAATGAACTGGTCGATTTGTTTTACAGAAGATTCATTTGCAAACTGAATCATTTAAATACCTGATCCACACATATGGTTACTTAAAACGAATCGTTACGATGAAGAAACACTGCTAAATCAAAGCGTAACCTACAAACATCAAAATTACAGTTCAAAACATGACGCTTAACAGATTAAGGCTAATTAGACTGAATAGAGTGTCATTATTAATAATAAGTAAGGAACGAGGGCTGTGAATGGCATTTTGAATGTAGACTTTCAGGAGCCGCCCGAGTCAAACTACACCATAACAACCTGCCATTTAGTTTAATTACCACTAATGTTTAATTACTGGCTAATGACTAAAACAAGTAGGGTAAAGGCAAAGTGGTGAGATGGAATGAGACTGGATGAAGGAATTCTGCACTTGAGTGTCTCTAAAGGCCAGACACATGAGAAGAGCGAGGAGTAAATGTGCAGACGTAGGTGGCTTGGCAGTGGCAGGCTGGTCATACAGCAGTCAGATGGAGGGACACTGGGAACCTCATCCGTTCCCTGTGTAAGCAGAGCAGCCCAATGCCGCTTTAGATATGGCAAGTGTGCGGAGGGACCCGGCTATTTATAGACACGGAAAGAAATGTGATCCTAAGAGTTTTTGAACACTCTGTTCTGTCTGCAGTCTGACTGAATTTGGGGGTCTGCAGCTCCATCTGCTGGTTATAATGGGGAATGCATATGATTCTGGGACCTGTTATACAACAATTTATCCTAATGCAATAAAAAATAACACAAATAAAACAAACTAAAAATAAAATAAGACAAATGAAAATAAAAGAATGGCTCTCAATAGATACCATTTTTCAATAAAAGATATACAAGAAAATAAATATAAGATAAAACGTAAAATAAAATGAGATGTAAAAATAAAATAAAGATACCAATTTTCAAAAAAAGACAAGAAAATAAAGATAAAACAACATATAAGATGTAAAGTAAAAATAAAGATAAAATAAGATGTAAAATAAAGATAACAATTTTCAAAAAAAGACAAATATGAAAATAAAGATTAAGATAAGATGTACAATAAAATAAAGATATAAAAATAAAATAAGATATAAAAAACATATACCAACTTTCAAAAAAATATGAATAAAATAAATATTAAATAAGATATAAAACTTAAATTAGATAAAGTAATATATACAAATTAAATAAAGATAGAATTAAATAAGATGCAATAACACAAATTACAGTAAGATATAAAATAAAAATAAGACCCAAATAAGATAAAAATAAGACCAAATAAAAATAAAGATATACGTTTCAGTAAAAAAAAACCCAGTAAAATAAGATAATATAAGATAAAAATTAAATAAATAAATTAAGAAATAAAATAAAAAACAATATATAAAAAAGATAAAACAAATACAACAAAATAATTTGAAAATAAAAGATATAAAATACAATTGAGTTCAAATTAAAATAAGACAAAACAAGATAAAAAATAAATGAAAATATAAAGATACCAATTTTCAATAAAAGATTAGTAAAATAAGATAAAATAAAATATAGATAAATATATAAAATAAAATTGATATAGAATAAATAAAATACAATATAAAATAGAATAGTAGTTCTCAACAGATTTCAATTTGCAATAAAACAATACCAAACAACAAACTGAAATAAAATAAAAATAAATAAAATAAGACATAAAATGAAGTTATCAACAGATGCCATTTTTTTATAAAACACAATGCATTATAATATATTTAATTCAAAATAAAATAAAGAGATAACACAAAGATCAAATTAGGAAGATATAACAAATATACATTTTTAAAATATAAAACAAAACAAAACATTGCTCATCAGTGATAGAGTTAATAAAATTTGTTCTGTTCAATTGTCACTTGTGTTACCTTATTACTTGGCTCCAACTTCAAGGCCCTTTTCAGTGTTTTAATGGCTTCAGCATACTCGCCCTGCAGAGCCAGTACCTGTGGACACAAACACACGGCACAGGTCAGCACCTTTTCATCTCAACACACCTCTAGCTGTTCGGCGGAACCAAACGACCGAACAACCCGCTTTCGCTGTGTCCCAAACCAGGAGTGCATTACTATTTAATGAGAGCGAGTGAAAACGATACGCATCTGAACCCAGGAAACCAACCTTGCCTTTGCGGAACAGGGCTTTGACATTGTCCGGCTGGTGCACTAGGACGGAGATGCAGGAGCGCAGCGCGGCTTCATAGTGGTCTAGCTTGAGTTGAGCAGCGGCCATGTTGTTGAGACATTTCACCTCCATGTCCAAAAGTTCTTCCTCTTCTTGTTGACTGATGTCCACTAAGATAAAAGAGTAATATGTGACCCTGGACCACAAAACCAGTCATAAGGGTCAATTTTTTCGAAATTGAGATTTATACATCCTCTGAAAGCTGAATAAATAAGCTTTCCATTGATGTATGGTTTGTTAGGATAGGACACTATTTGGCTGAGATACAAAAAAAATCTGGAATCTGAGGGTGCAAAAAAATCTAAATATTGAGAAAATCGCCTTTAAATTTGTCCAAATGAAGTTCTTAGCAATGCATATTACTAATCAAAAATTAAGTTTTGATATATTTACGGTAAGAAACTTACAAAATATCTTCATGGAACATGATCTTTACTTAATATCCTAATGATTTTTGGCATAAAAGAAAAATCGATAATTTTGACCCATACAATGTATTTTTGGCTATTGCTACAAATATACCCCAGCTCCTTAAGACTGGTTTTGTGCTCCAGGGTCACATATGATTGCAGACAAAACCATAAAATGATTTATTAGGAAATTAACTCAATGAATCATTAATGAAGCAGTATCACCTCTGGAAGTTGCTTCGGTTATCTGTAGCGCGATTCCGTACGAGTTGACGGCAAACGCGTAGTCGGCGCGCTGGAAGAGGACATTTCCTCGCTCTCGCTTTCTGTTGGCCAAACTGATTCGCTCAGAGGGCGGCATGAGCTCCAGGTCTGGGGCGTCATCTGCCGACAACAGCTGCACCTCCAGGATGAGATCAGAATCAGGAGGCGCAGCAGGAGTAGAGCTGACAGAGGAGATGAACGGGGTTAAGAGTCAAGCAAAGGATGTCTACCACGTCAAAGTATTTCTGCTGTGTCACACTGCTGTTCAAAAGTTAGGAGTCATACAATGTTTTTGAAAGACGTCTCTTATGCTCACCATGGCTGCATTTATTAGATCAAAAATACAGTAAAAACAGTAATGGTATGAAATATTATTACTTTTCTATAAGAATATAATTTCAAATGTAATTTGTTCCTGTGATGCAAAGCTGGATTTTCATTCTTCACTGTCACATGATCCTTCAGAAATCCTTCTAATATGCTGATTTGCTGCTCAAGAAACATTTCTTATTATTATCAATGTTGAACAGCTGTGCTGCTTTATATTTTTGTGGAAACCGTATTTCAAATATTTTTTTCAGGATTCTTTGATGAATAGAAAGGGTCACAAAAGTGAGTACACCCCTAAGTGAAAATGTCCAAATTGGGCCCAAAGTGTCAATATTTTGTGTGGCCACCATTATTTTCCAGCACTGCCTTAACCCTCG